TTATAGCTAAAAATCCCAAATCTCTGAAGTCTTTTGGTTGGAATTATAAAAGATGCAGCATAAAGGAAGGAAGACTTGCAATGGGAACAAAAAAAAAACTGGAATGTTCCACTACTCCCACACACTTTTTTTTTTCCGGATTTGACTGGATGATCTGGTTGAACTTTAAAGTGCCTTGAGGTGACACGTGTTGTGAATTGGCGCTATAGAAATAAACTGAATTTAATTGGATTGCAGCGTCTCCTTAAATGCGATTGCATCAATAACTGTAGGAAAAAAGTTCACATGCAAAGCTATTGTAGTTAGTGAAATTTCATCTGATTAAATAAATTATTTTCCCTTTTATAAATAAAGCTAATGGGTCCATTTGAACATTGCATGCCTTCACTGTACCCCATCCACCTCTGGTGTAGTGGAGGTGCAGAGCACTTCATAAATGGGAAGCCATGCTTCGCCAAAATCTCTTTGGGGTATTTTGGGTGTTTCATTGACACAACATGAAGGTCTAAGGAGCAATTAGTTTTACTTATTTTAAGCTTCTGTCTGCAGCACTGCAAACATTTGTTCCTTAAAACAAGTGCCCTTTTTTTGAGCAGGTAAGTGAGGCACTTTCCAATGGAACAAGACAATTTGCATTTAAAATAACAAAAATGAAATTGCTTTATCTTATTTCAAGTTCAGATTATCTAATTATCTTATTTTAGGGATAAAAATAGTCATTCCATTGGCAGATCATCTTATTTATATACTCAAATTAAGGTTAAATACACTTCATGTAAGATTTTTACTTATTTCTAGATCGTATTTGCATAGAGCTGGATAGCAAGAATTAATTTTTTTTTTTCTTTTAGTTTATTACCATCAATATATGCTTTTTTGGCTCTTACTTGTCAGCTAGAAGAGATAACAGTTGAAACTGTCCTATCTGAAGAAAAACATCAGGTTTTCTGGTAGAGAAAACCTGACTTCTTACGGCTTCCATCAGGATCCATTTAGGGCTCTTTAATTCCTCCCTGATTAATTCTCTCCCTAACGGACTGAAAAGTGCGGGCTTCTTAAGACTATGAATTTATTTAAATTGTGTAAGTTATTTACCGTTGTGTTTGTATTTTTATTTTTTTGTATCTTGTGAGTTGGTAGGATCTATCATGCCATGTTTGACCAGAAGTCTAAGGATCATGCCCTCTAGTGGAGGCATCGAGGTAGGTGTTATCGTGCATATTGTCTGTTTTCTATGCAAGTATGTGACTGTTGGTTTGTTCGTATATTTGGTTTCCACAAAGGTTTTATAATTGTCTCAAAGTACTTTTATGACGTTTTTATAATTTGGGGATCTGATGATCATTTTTATTCGCCTTATAAATAAAGAAACTGAAATCATCCATTTTTGCTGGGATTAATTTTGCTCCAGAACTGAGGGGCTTTCCAACCCTCCATGCTTAGCTTGTCAGTTTAGATGGACGACCGAGCCATACTTAAAGCTCTGGATTTACCCGTCGATCTACATTCCTACATCTATGGTCATGAGCTTTGGGTCATGACCAAAAGAACGAGATCACGGATACAAGCGGCCGAAATGGGTTTCCTCCGCAGTGTGTCTGGG